CAGCAGATTAAATTAAAATCATGATGGTAATTCAGCAGATTAAATTAAAATCATGATGGTAATTCAGCAGATTAAATTAAAATCATGATGGTAATTCAGCAGATGAAATCATTAAAATCATGATGGTAATTCAGCAGATGAAATCATTAAAATCATGATGGTAATTCAGCAGATGAAATCATTAAAATCATGATAGTAATTCAGCAGATTAAAGAGAACTGGATTCATGTTGTTTTTACTTCACGTTGCTCTTTTGAAAACAAAAGAAAAAAGAAAATCTATTTTTTTACTTTAATTTTGACAGAAGCTCCAGCTGCTCAAGAAACCGTCTGTGGGATGAAGGCTGATGAAGACTACGCTGAAGAGCTCACTGCGGTTTTTCCCATCATGCACTGGGTTAGGAGTGAATCATCTGAAAAAAAAAAAAAAAAAAAAAACATAAACTGAGCCAACCGTCATCCAACAGGATTAAATGAATTTACAGGTGAGTAACGACACCTACAGGTAGCTGGTTTACATAGTTCCCCTCATCATCATCATCATCATCCTCACTCCGAGATGAAAGGTCAGGGGTTGAACCTGCAGGGATTTTAGTTTAATGATGTTCAGTTGCTTTTAAAACCACTCAAATTATTAATTATTTCATTCTTAAAATCAACAAAGATCCAATGAAAAGTAAATGAAATATTGAATGAAAAGGGTGCAGAAAAAAGGAAAAATCTTTTATCTGCACCTTATTAAATAAACAACTTAAATGTGAACAGTCTCCATATTTGAGATAGAAAACCAAAAACAAATTGAAAACAAGAACAAAACATGTGGAATCACAATATTTTCACTAAACACTACATAACGTCTTACTTTCTTAACAAATTAAATTTAGTAATCTTTTTAAACATATAAATCTTTGTGGAAGTTTTTAAATGTTATATTTATTCCAGAAACCTGTTCTCTGAATCACAGCAGCTCCTTAAAACTCCTTTAAAATCTCTGTTTCCTTAAAGTTATAGTGACTTTTTCTTTTAACTAATTTTAATTAAATGTTAAAAGGTAACATTTTTTAAACAGCTTTAAACATGATCTGCAAAATACCATATTCATACAAATCATAACGTTTTAATAATTTCAGCTGATGAAATAATATATTTGTTGTGTGACCACAGCACCTTGTGATAATTCTTCTGGCTCTTATTTCAAAATAAAACTAGGGTTTGTTATTGTCTTATATGCTTTTTATCAAACTTCAGTACAGTAAATTAAATGCGGAACAATCATTGCATTAAATGCAATATATACAGAGTTTATAATTACATAACTTTATCATTTAATTCATTCTTTCACTCTTTGTACAGCAATGCAGTTGATTTAGCTAATTTTAATCTTAATTTATGAGATTTCCATGTCAGCTTTCATCGATGATGACACCCAAATATTTTATTTCACTGACTCTACAAATTTCAGTATCATCAATTCAGAATGGAACTTTAAGAGTTTACTTTCTGTTACCAAATATAATTAGTTTTATCCAAATTCAATGATAATGTTAATTCTAAGTTGAAACCAAGTTTGTACCTTCATAAAATCTGTTTGTATCTCCTCCAACAACTGTTCAATATTTTCACCAGAATAAAAGTGTGTCATCAGCAAACACAATACATTTTAAAAACTTTAACACATTGACCAAATAATTCACATATAAAACAGTTTTGGTCCAAGCATAGAACCCTGAGGAACTCTGCAATTAATAAAACAGAGTTCAGATCTTACATTAGTTACTTGAACAACCTTTTTCCTATTTTTCATGTAAATAAATGCCCACTGTAGTGAAAATCTGACCTTTTTGCAGACAAGTTTTAATCCCAGGTTTAGAATGATTTTAATCCGGGGTTTAGACTGGTTTTAATCTAGGTTTTAAACTGTTTTTAATCCAGGATTTAGACTGGTTTTAAGCTAGGTTTTAGACTGGTTTTAATCCAGGATTTAGACAGGTTTTAATCCAGGATTTAGCCTGGTTTTAATCTAGGTTTTAGACTGTTTTTATTCCAGGATTTAGACTGGTTTTGATCTAGGTTTTAGACTGTTTTTAATCCAGGATTTAGACTGGTTTTAAGCTAGGTTTTAGACTGCTTTTAATCCAGGATTTAGCCTGGTTTTAAACCAGGATTTAGACTGTTTTAATCCAGGATTTAGACTGGTTTTAATCCAGGATTTAGACTGGTTTTAAACCAGGATTTAGACTGTTTTAATCCAGGATTTAGACTGGTTTTAATCCAGGATTTAGACTGGCTTTAAACCAGGATTTAGACTGTTTTAATCCAGGATTTAGACTGGTTTTAATCCAGGATTTAGACTGGCTTTAAACCAGGATTTAGACTGTTTTAATCCAGGATTTAGACTGGTTTTAATCAAGGATTTAGACAGGCTTTAAACCAGGATTTAGACTGTTTTAATCCAGGATTTAGACTGGTTTTAATCAAGGATTTAGACAGGTTTTAATCCAGGATTTAGCCTGGTTTTAATCAAGGATTTAGCCTGGTTTTAATCCAGGTTTTAGCCTGGTTTTAATCCAGACCTTTAGTTCTTTTAAGACTTTTCATTTAAACC